ATTTGGATTTGAAGGAATTTTGATTGTTTAATTTTTACATAATGCTTGTGTTTTATTTATCTATTTATTTTGGAGAATTTTTATAGTTAGGTCATAGGGATAATATCTTATTTGGCCTTTAATTTTTTTAATGTGGTACCTAAATTTTTTTTTTATTCATGTACTTAAACTATATATATTTTCAAGTATTAAATTACCTCAACCATTAACACTGTTAGCCTTACAAGTTGAAGTGACATAAATATTTAATAAAATGCTAACACGTATTAAAAAAATTTAATTAGCATCACATTATTAATACTACATCAACATTAAAAGAAATATTCATAAAATTCTAAAAAAATTCTAAAATTTTTTGAAAAATTCTAATTTTTTTAAAATTATAGAAGTTTTTTTAAAATTTTAAAAATTCAAAAAAATCTTGTTGGTGGCTGTGGCTCATTTGTGCCATAGAAAATGGGATATTATCCCATATTTAAAAAAAAAGTATAAAAATCATTTCAAGTAAGGTTTCCTTGACTTTACTAGCATGTGATGGCGATTGTTAAGGAAACCTTGATAGGCAGTTCCAAAGTTAGCCTTTGCTAACCTTTGTGATTTTACAAAATTTTGTTGGTTGCAAAAATAATTTCCTTGAAGAGTATTTCTCTTGGAATTTTAACTATAAAGAAATTTGTTGGTCGGTGATTGCTATTGTTGGATAAGCTAGAACCATTTATTCCAAATTCAATAGTGGCATAAATAGTTTCTTCAATGGCAGTGACATAGTTTGATAAAGCAAATGTGACTGTTGTGTTGATGTTGGTGGAAGACCTGCTACTGGTGGTGATCTTACTTCCACTAATGTTGAATGGGGATGACAAAGAGATGTATAGAGGGTGGGACTCGAATGATGGCAAAGCTGGTAGTTTGCCAAAAAGGTTACCCGAAACCACCCATTTCATATTAGGCCTCAAAAGTGGATTATGGAGTGTGCAGAGGAGTCCTATGTGAAGCAACCACTCCATATCTACTAGCCTGTAAGAACCGTCTGTAAATTGATGAACCAAGCAGCCAATCTATTTTTTTAGATAATTTGTCCCATACCAGGGACGTTGATAATAAATTTAGCGAATTAATACTTAGATCATTTGATGAGACAAGAGTGTTAGGAGCATTTGATAGTCAAATGGGTATAAATGGTCTTTTTTCCTCTCAAAGCCTTCATCAGACAATCAAGGGTATCTTTGTGATTTATTTCAACCTGAAATGTCAAGTTCGCCTAACATGGTCAGTGCCACTTTAACTTAACTTTGTCTTATTTATTCCTTTATAGTCCCCTTCAGTTTACCTATAAATATGATGACTTAAACATCATGAAGATAGGTTCATCCTACTCATTTCTCTTTCTCTTTTTTACTTTCTTGTCGACTTGATCTTTATTGACTTATGTGTCAGAATACAAATGCAGGGAACACCCCTATTTTTGCCTCTAACCGTCTTTTTCTTATGCATTCATAAGAATACTCTCAAGTTAGAGTTTGGCACTAACATTTGACGCGCTAGGTAGGGGATCTTGTTTAGCCAATCACAAAACAATACCACCAAGAAAAAAAACCTTAACGGAATGGGAAAGAGCTCGATCAAAAAAGGCTTATATCTATAAAATGCCTTCATTAAAACCCAATTCGATAAAATGACTCAACTAAAAAGCTCAAACTTAGATTGATCAAAAGAGCTTGGATCTATAAAATACTTTTATAAAGGTTTAATTCGACAATACAGCTCATTCAAAGAGCTGGGACTCAGCTTGACCGAAAGAGTTTGGATCTACAAATACCTTCATAAAAGGTCTAATTCAATAAAATAGTTCGATCAAAGAGCTCGGACTCAGTTTGATCAAAAGAGTTTGAATTTACAAAATAACTTCATAAAGGCCTAATTCGACAAAATAACTCAATCAAAAAACTCAGACTCGGCTCATTTAAAAAAGCTCAGATTTACAAAATGCCTTTATAAAAGTCTAATTCGACAAAATAGCTCCGTCAAATAACTTAGACTCAATTCGACGAAAAGAGCTCGAATCTATAAAATACCTTAATAAAGGCTCAATTCAACAAAATAATTCGACCAAAAAGCTTAAACTCAGCTCGATCAAAAGAGTTTGGATCTATAAAATGCCTTCATAAATGTTCAATTCAACAAAATAGCTCGATCAAGTAGCTTAGACTCAACTCAACCAATAGAGTTTGGATTTATATAATGCCTTCATAAAGGCCTAATTTGACAAAATAGCTTGGTTAAAGAGCTCATCTCGACCACCTTGATCAAATAACTCATCTCGATAAATCATTTACATAAAGGCTTGGTTGGGTCACTTCGACTAAAGTGATTAGCTTGGTTAAAAGAGCTCAGTTCAGCCAAAAGAGTTCACCTTGGTTACCTCAAACAAAGAGTTCATCTCGATAAATTATCTGCATAAAGACTTGGCTAGGCCACTTCAGCCAAAATGATTAGTTTGGGTAAAAAAAGCTCATCTTAGTCAAAAGAGCTCATCTCAGTCACCTTGATTAAAGAATTTATCTCGATAAATTACCTACATAAAGGCTTGGCTGAGCCACATCGATCAAAGTAATTAGTTTGGCCAAAAGAGCTCATCTCAATCACGTTGGTCAAAGAGTTCATCTTGATAAATTGCCTACATAAAGGCTTGATTGGGCCATCTCAGCTAAAATGATTCTTTTGACCAAAAGAGCTCAGTTTGATCAAAGGAGCTCATTTCGATCACCTCGATCAAAGAGTTCATATCGATAAATTATCTACATAAAGGCTTAGTTGGGCCATTTTGATCAAAGTGATTAGCTTGGACAAAAAAGCTTAACTCGGCCAAAAGAGTTCATCTCAACCACTTCGGTTAAAAGAGTTCATTTCTATCGTCTCGATCAAAAAGCTCATCTCTGCCATCTCGATCAAAAAACTTATCTTGGTAAATTACATACATAAAGGCTTGACGGGGCCACCTTAACTAAAGTGATTAGCTTGGCCAAAAGAGCTCGCATCGGTTAAAAGAGCTCGCATCGGTTAAAAGAGCTAATCTCGAATCACCTCCGATAATTATCACTTTGACAAGCTTTAAACTAATTATGCACTCAATCCAGAATACATGCGCGAGATCGAATAACTTCTAGGTCAGACTGTGGCTCAAAGCTAGTCATTAGCCAAAATCAACCTCCCCTTATAACTTTGACTTTTGACAAATCAAACTGCTAATTTGTTCCCCCAGCCAATCTACCCCACATAGGGGACATCAATAATAAATTTGGTGATTTGATACTCAGATTGCCTGATAAGGGGATAGAGTGTTAAGGGTATTTGATTTTCAAAAGGGTATAATGATTTTTTTCCCTTTCAGACTATCTTAATTGTCCCCTTATAGGCCCTTTTAGCTTACCCATAAATATAATGACTCAGGCACCATGAAGGTAAATTCATTCCACTCGTTTCTCTTTCTTTTTTCTACTTTCTTGCTAATTTAATTTTTATTGATTGGTGTGTCAAAGTACAAATATAAAGAACACGCACTACATTTGCCTCTAATCATTTTTCTTTTCTATATTCATATGAATACCTTCAGGTCGAAGCTTAGCACCAACACATGATTTGATAGGTTGTGAGAGAAAATATTACATATTTGAACTTAAAACCTCTATTTCGAAAATATTTTTGAGTGATAACTGATAATCCAACTTGAGATCTTTATTTAGAGTTCATTAATATCAAAACTCATTATTTTATTCTCATATATCTAAATCATTAGTCTCAAATTAAGAGAAAAAACAATAAAAAACATAAATTCATTCATTTTGATTTTATACTTGCTTCAATAAAATATTTAAACTATTCCATGCCTCTAACTTAAAAATTCTTTTTCTTTTAATATTTTGATAATGGCCTGAATCAAATCTTGGCCAATATTTTGGAAGAAAAGGAAACCAAGTGCATGTAACATTTATTTATTTGCAACTTCTTGTAAAAAGTAAAATAAAAATTTATTAATTTGAATAGATTTATTAATTTAAAATATAATATAATAATACGATATAAATATAATATAAATATAAAATATAAAATTAATATAATTTAAAATTTTAATAATAATTATATATAAATTTAATAAAAAAATTTATACTTTTATATCAATATAAATTATAAAACATAATTTTTATATAAAATAATAATATAAATATATAAATTTTAATATTTTATATGTCATGACTATTGAAATTTTACATTTAAATTTGATTTAAAATGACTAAAAGCAAGCACGTGATTCAGTCTCGATACCGCCGCCTTTCCAAACCTGTCATCGTCAGCTCTTTTTTGGCGCTCTTTTAAACTGAAGTTACTACACTATACGGCACGTGGTAAATGGAAATGCAAAAATACCTTTTTGCCCCTTAAATTTATTTGGTAACCTCACTTTTTTCCCCCTTTAAAATGTTTTTATCCAATAAAATTTCTAATATTTTAAAGAATATTAATTCCAAGATAGCATTTTGCAATACTTGCATTCAAATATTCAACCATTAAACTAAAAGAAGAAATCAAGAAAATCAATTAACCATAAATCTATATTCATAATCTTACTAAATTGTTAATATTTATACAATGAGATTTGAAATCTATTTCATGAAAATTATTATGAAATTTTTTATGTAATTTAATTGTAATCATAAAAATTTTATTCATAATCAATAAATAAATTTATTTTAAATTAATTCAATAAATTTGATTTTAATTGAAATTTGGTGATGATAATTAATTTGCGTAGAAAATTTGTAATAATTTTTACAAAATCAAATCTCTAAAAATAAAACTCTTAATTTGTAAGTGTAACATTTTGTTATTAACCAGCACTAGCATATTTTGAAAAAAAAAATCAAATTAAATCTCTTTTCTTTTTATAAAGAAGTCCAAGGACAAAAGAGTAAATTCAAACAAAGCGCGGTTCAAGATCTTAATTTGAATTCGCGGGACCGGGGTAGAAGCCTACGTAAAAGAAAACCAGATCTGGATTCACATTTGAATTCCCAAATCCGCCAACCAAATTTTCTCTCTTTTTCTTTCTCGTTCCCACAAACCAAACAAGAACAAGATACGACTTTTCTTTATACACTTTCTCTTCCCTCGATTCTCTGTTTGTTTCTCGGGAAAACATCCATGTCTTCGTTTGTTTCTCGAGAATCTGAACCTAATTCACGAACTCTTTACTGCCGTAAAGAGAAATCTCTGGGCCTTTTATGCTCCAAGTAGAATTTTTTTCTCAGCTCCTTGAAATTTCATAGATTCGATCTTGTTCAATCTTTAAAACTTTTTTTTAATGTTTTTCTTTTTAATTTTTTATCAGTTTCTTGGCGTTGTATAATCATGATGGTGTTCAAACGATTGGACTCGACGATGCCGCATCAAAATTAGGTTTGTAATCTAATTTTCTGAAATAATTACTCACACTATTTTGAATTATACTAAGCTGCTTTATTGAAATCCTTTTGCATATTGTAGGGGTGGAACGACGTCGTATTTATGATGTAGTGAATATATTGGAGAGTATTGGAGTAAGATACTATTCTTTTTTTACCCTTTATTTTTTATCATTAAAAAATCCATTCTATTGGTATACTTGTTGAATTTGAATAGCTTGAGTTGGTTTTTGGCTTTTACTTTGTTTAGGTGGTGGCAAGAAAGGGGAAGAATCAATACTCATGGAAGGGTTTTGGAGAAATTCCCAGGGTTTTGGAGAAGCTCAAGGTAGATTTTAAATTTCTGCATTTCATTTTATTCACTTTTTTTAAAGTTATTTTTAAACTGAAGGACTGATTTGTCATGTTTTCTGTTACAGGAAGAGGCAGTGAAACAGAATTTCTGTTTTTCAGGTTGCAACAAATCATTAAGGGTAGAATTCTATTTTTGTTCCCTTACTCCGTTTGTTTGCTGAGAAAATTTTAGCCCCTAAGAATTCTATGTCTGGAACTGAGACTGTTGCTGACAATTAACATGTCTTAGTGATCTAATATATGTGGGAGCTGGGTGTAATTTATCTTTATAATCTAAGTTTGATTCAGCTTATTGCTTTAATTTGAAGTAAAACTTTTTTTTTCCCTTTACATTTTCTTATAGAGGTCTTACCAATATTCTGGTCTTTCCTTGTTTAACTAGCTGAGCTATTTGTTTAGGTCTCAGATGAAAATGAAAGTGGAGTGTCCTTAAATTTGAAGATTGATGGGCAAGATAATCCTTCAGAATCATCAAAACATATTGGTAAGAGCATTTTTGTTCTGTCTTTTGATTTGCAATTCATGCATGGAACACATTTATGGAAGAAAAACATTTTTTAATTGTTTTTATTAATTTATTCAGCATTACTGTTTATTTGCTTAGATACCAAACGAGAAAAATCTCTTTGGCTTATTACGCAGAACTTTGTCAAGCTTTTCCTTTGCTCAGAAGTAAGAGAACTTCTCTTTTATTTGGGTTTGGTGTTATGAACTATTTACATGCCCTGTATGTATAATAGCTGATATGTTTTCTACAGGCTGAAATGATCACCCTTGATAGTGCTGCGGTTGCTTTGCTGGGTGATGCCCACGATTCAACTGCTATGAGAAGTAATGGAACATACCATTATTAACGTCATTTCTAAATTTTACTACTGCCAATCACTTATGCTTTTCTCTGGCAAAACTTTTGCAGCAAAAGTTAGACGGCTGTATGACATTGCCAATGTGTTTGCTTCTATGAATTTAATTGAGAAGGTATGGTATTGGTCCGAAAATCACATCCAAATCCAGCAAAGAAAATCCTTCTTTTGCTACCTCAATGATGCACATGGATCATAAATCATAAGGGGCCTCAGCCCTCACAAAAACCTAAAATATGTCCAGTGCTTCTGACTAGTTTTTTATTTGCTCGATCTATTTGCAGACCCACCATCCTGAGAGCAGGAAACCGGCATTTAGGTGGCTGGGATGGGGAGCCAAACTTCATAATGGATCAAAGACAGCTTTGGTTTTGAATGAATCAAAGAAGAGGGTGTTTGGGACGGAGATTACAAACCACAGTTTAAAGAGAACGAAGGCAAACTCCTCAGTTCATCAGAAGTCACAACAGAAGGAAAATATTGCAACGCATAATAAGCACGAGAGTATAGAATATGATCATGAAATATATAAACTGGAGCAGCATTCGAAGCAGAGCTCCAAGGGTTTTGTATTTGGTCCTTTTACTCCTGCAGGAATGCCCTCAGGAAACAAAAATGTGAGACCAGTTCGGGACTGGGAGAGCCTTGCTTGTACTTACAAACCTCAGTATCTTAATCAAGGTATCTTCTATGATTCATTACTTAAAATACACATGGTTGACCATGCATGATTAATAAGTGGCGCTGCAAAATTCTGGCCCCATTGTGATGGTTGATTAAGCACAAAAAGAATTCCAGCACCTTCTCTTGTAGCCTCTTTAAGTAATCCCACCAATGAGAGCTATAGTTTGTCATAGTTCATGGATTGGACCAAACAAAAATCTTGAAATACTAATAATCCGTTCTGATAAAATAACTCATCACATTTTTTACACTCAGAGACATTGTACAACAAAATTGTGGATCTCATTGATTCACACTTGCTAAGTTGAGAAGAATTGTTTCGGCAAACAAAATGTCCTTTTCTTTTTGGAATCTGCTACTGGATTGTTCTTCTGTCTTGCATATAGTGTGTGGGCATATTAGAATCTGTATCCTTTCCATTTTAATTGTATGATATGGTTCTGTTAATGGTGTTGCAGCCCTTAGTGACCTTTTTGCTCATTACATGGAAGCATGGAAGTCTTGGTATGCTGAAGTTGCTGGAAAAGAAGAGATTCATTTAAGTTCCTGATCCCCCTCTCAGGTTCTCTAACTCAAGATGACCAAGTAATACACATGTTCAAAATGGAACGCAACATTTTTACAGGTATATGACACCTTTGTTGGATGTATTTTCTCGATCCAACCCTTCCCGGTAACCATAACCTTTCGCTTGATACATTCCTTAATTCCCTCTCTGAGCTTCAAGCTCTTCTACATTTTTCTTCTTTTCTTGTTTAGAATCTTGAACATGTAATAAGTTCCTGAATTGCTGATTAAAGATAGAAGAAATTATTATGAATTTGAAGGGTTTTTTGGTTTCATCAGTATCTATTAATCAGTTTTCTGGTTTCTATAAAAGGCAAAGAAAGTCATGACTGCTTCTATTTGCAACCTGTTATTGATCTTGTCCACTCGTTTTTCCATTGATTTCCTCCCTTGTCTGAAATTACCAGCTAAACCCTCAACATAATTACAGGGTTCCCTGTTAAAAGCTATCACATCATTGTTTCTGTTAACATCATGGTGCATTTGTCCTAACCGGACCGAATAATCCTTATCTTTTCAAGGGCTTATATCAGGATTCATTTTCAAGTCTTTATCATCATATATCTAATTGGTGAGGGGACCCATTGGTGGTGAATCCTGATGTTGCACCAAAATCATTAATTCGAAGTTTGACTAAATGACCAACTTTTTTTTTTGTTGTGAAGTGAAAATGTTTTTGTAATCTTTCATTGTTTTCATATCAAGATGAAACCAACCATTAATGAGTTATTCCATTTGACGTCAGAGATGTGGTTGCAAGAAATATCCTTTGCTTCCCCTCTCAGTAAGCATATATGCCAAAGAAAACTTCTCTACTCACCAACATTTTCTCACGCTTGAAAGGATTAATTAATTTTATATTTCGGCATCATGGTGAGCGTTATTCTCATTGTTTCATAATTACATTTTATAATTGGACTTTCAAGTCATTTCCCTCTTCAAATTATCTTTTAATTTATTCATCAAACTGGATTTCACATTATAATTTAGTAATTTTTTAAAATATATTTAATTTTTATTTTGAAAAAATTGATATATTTACATATATCATTGAATCAAATATTTAAATATTAATATATTTAACATTTTCAAAAATAATATTAATAATAAAGTTAATTATAATTAATGTTAATATAATTTGGTTCTCAAATTAATCCTGCAAATAGACGTGCTATTTTTTAAAAGTGATAATTGTTTAAATAAAATTGGATTTGATTTGATTTTTTTAAATATAATATAATATTATAAAATTTTAAAATTTAATTTAAATTTGAATCAATTTTTTATATAATTTAATTTGAATTGAATAAAATTTTATTAATTTTGTTTGGTTTGTTAACTAATTTTTAAAAATTATTTTTTTATTTTTTATATATTATTTTAATATAAAATTTTAATATATTTAAATAAGTTTTTATATAAAACAATTATTTTTATTTTATAAAAATTTAAAATATATAAAAATTAATAAAAATATATAATTTGTTTCAATGAATTTAAAATATACGTATATGTTATAAATGTAATTAACTCAAATAAAGAGGCTAATTTCTTAAGCTCTCGTCCTAACAAATAAATAAATAAATAAATAAAAACTATTTTCTTTTAATAATTGAAAAAAACGCCAATACGGGTAAGAAAACGGGAAGTAAAAGAAAAGAAGGAAATAAAGAGCTCCTCAAGCTCTCAACGCTCTCTGATGGCATCGACAGCTGCAGTTCGAGCCGTCATATTCTCCCGTATCACCGCTCTGTCAGCCAAACCTCTCCCACCTTATATCTCTCACTTCTTCCCCAACGGCCGCAACCGCCCTTCTTCCGCCGTAACTGTCAGCTGCTGCTTAAACGGTGGCGGAATCTACGACGACTACTTCGTATCGACGCAGAAGTCGAATTTAGATCGGGGATTCTTAGTGATTGCTAATATGCTGAAGCACATCGAACCTCTTGACAATTCCGTTATTTCCAAGGGGGTTTCTGATTCCGCCAAGGAATCGATGAAGCGGACTATCTCGACTATGCTAGGGATTCTCCCTTCTGATCAGTTCTCCATTTTGGTTTCCCTTTCATCGCCTCCTCTTCATCGCCTCCTCTTCTCATCTATCATCACAGGGTAAAATCCTTAATCTAAACCACAAAAAAGTAACTTTTTTTTTTAAAGATGATTTTTTTTTCCTTTAGGTATACGCTGTGGAACGCGGAGTACAGGGTTTCGTTGATGAGGAATCTAGAAAGAGCATCGCCTGTGAATGAGACGGCGGACGAGACGGAGGGTGTTAGGCGACAGAAGAGAGAGGTGATTGAGGAGAAGAGGGAGGTGAGAGAGAGTGGAAGTGGTGGATTTGAGGAGTTGGAGAAGATAAGGCCATGGGTTTTCGGGGATTTGTCGCCTGAGGCTTTGAAGTATATTGAGAAGCTGCAGGCTGAGTTATCTGATGTGGAGGAGGTGAGGATTTTAGATTTTTCATAAAAATATAAATTTATATATATATATATATATGCTTTAAAAAAATTGGGTTTTATAATTATGGATTGGAAAGATGCAAAATTTGAAGCTTTTTTGCAAAAAAAAAAATCTTGTAAGTTAGCTATGCTTGCTTAATATGTAGTAACAAAAAATACTAATTAATATTTGATGGATTTATGGGCAAAAAAAAAATTGTTGTAAGTTAGCAATGCTTGCTTAATATGTAGTAGCAAAAAATACTAATTAATATTTGATGATTTTATGGGCAATTTGGAGGTAGTTATTTGTTTAAAAATGTTAATTTTAGATTTTCTTGCTTACAAAAAATACTAATTGGTTATTAAAGTGCTTTAGCAATAATCATGTTTGGGAAATCGGTTTATAATGTCCTTTTCTTCTCTTGTGTTGTGCTAATAAGAATGTTTGTGTTGAACTTTGCCATGCCCGTTTTCTGCAGTTTGACATACCAAGCAGGTATTTAATGGTGATTTAAGAATCTATCTTTACTCCATTTGGTGGATCATAGTGCCTAACACATTGTCAATAGTTTGGTATATATATATAAACACATTATCAACTACAACATATAGCCAAATAAAGAATTAATATTTGTTCTTTTTTTCAAACAGACGTGTGTGTAGTTGATAATGTGTTTTCCCATATTCCCCCCTTATAAGCTAATTAGTTTATGTTGTTTCAGGAACTGAGTGCCCAAAAGAAGGAAAATGTGCGAATAGAATGTGACAGGGAAAACAGGAACGATTTGTTAGAGTATTTACGATCCTTGGATGGCAACATGGTAATGAGCAACAAGTCTATTAGATTATCTTGCTTTGAAACTGAATTATCTTAGTTTGTTGCTATAATTAACTTGAAATATCTTCTCATTATATGTAATTTTTGTTGCCAGGTGATAGAATTATCCCAACCATCATCAGTACAAGTGGAGGAAATAATCCTCCAGCTTGTTCAAAATATATTGCAAAGGTTCTTTAAGGATGCACTTATGAGAGATTCAGGGATAGTGAACACAGGAATTCATCAAGATGCTACTGATGAAAATTTTGGCACTGTTGGCACTTCCCGTGATTACCTTGCAAAGCTGCTTTTCTGGTACGTTGTTTTCCATGTTATTACTTAATGCTCTTGCTTTCTGAAAGTTAGTTCTGAATGTTTAGTGAAGGTGTGCACATTAGGCATTTCTTGAACTCAAGACCATGCTAATGCACAAACATGCCTGTTTCCACTGGCATGCATATTATAGTTGTTGAGACTAAGGGTGAAAAAGAAAATCTCTATGGCTCTTTGATTTGAAAGAGATTCCTGGTATTCATTCATAGTAACGCAACTGAAAACTCAGCAAATTTTTTGTTTCAAAGAAAAGGGATTGATAACGACTCCTCTGTTGTAATATATCCAATGTAGCACTATTCTTTCACATTTGTTACTCCTTTGTGTTTTCTCCATCTATCGAATTGCGGTTATGAATTATAGTATTAAGGTTCTCTGTTCATCCTGCAGGTGTATGCTATTGGGTCATCATTTGAGAGGCTTGGAAAACAGATTGCAACTAAGTTGTGTTGTTGGATTGTTGTAAAGTAAGGTGTATGACAAATATATATTCTTTTTTCTTTTCCATTAAAGCTTTTAATGATTATCAGATCAATTTTCTTCAGCCTGCTTTCATACGAAAACAATTGATTCATTCTGAAAACTTCTTAAAAAATCTTTTATGAAGTAACCAAACCTATTTGCAGTTGCGTGGTTGAGTACTGTCCCTAAAATCAAAACCTTGTTCATTAGTTTTTTACAAATAAGATCGTAGCTTGGAGATAAGACAATGGATTGGAATTGTTAGAATTTGAATCTCAAACTTATAAAATGTTACTTTTAAAGATTTAAAGATTTAAAGATTGTACGTATCAACTATGTTCTGGATTTCGAAACTTTGTTGATTTGAATGTGTTTCTACCCATATTTTTTTTGTAAATCGCATTGTGAAACCAGGCAGAACATCGGCTCATCGAACCTGCAGCGACGGATTGTTATTTACCCTACGAAACATTGAACTTGCTTGATTTGCTCATTCTTCGAATTCAAATTTGCAATACAACAATTCCCTTCAATTGTAGAAGTAATGTTGAATGCTAACACAGCCGATAACCGTCCATCCCTCATCAGTCGGATAGTTTAAACAGAACGGTCTTGAGGTTGAATGCAAAATACAAGAACAGTCAGGAAAGAAGCCCTTAAAATATATCTAGCTTGGGAATTGATGTCAGCTTCAGGTATTCCTGAATGGTAGAGTAAAAAACAGAGAAATAAAAAAAAAAAAAAAAACCTGGATTGTGCATAATTTTGTCTCATCAGATTCTTTCTTCTATCCTCTTTGTGACCATTCCAAATTTCAATTGAATTCAGCATCAGGTACTTAAGAATTAAGATTCAGATTACAAAAAATAACTCATGATACAAAGAGCTGAAACAATATTCTGCAACTTCTTTTTTGTCAGTTGCAACAAAATTTCTCCGAAGGTTGTCAAAAAAGAATAAAAATGGACTGAAAAGAGGTGAATGAACAAATATATTACAACGAATCGGATGAAATCAAGGCAAATCTTGCTTTTGTTGTTACTGGTGCGGAGGATATCCCTGAAATTTATACAGATCGTAAGGTGCCCAAAGGAAATCAACTGGGCAGGGTCTATCTGCATCTAGCCTTACCCATGGCTTCCCTTTAGCACTCCAATGAAGCAAACTTACAGGACCTGGATGCAATGGTCTGCAAGTATTCACTAAATTATGTCCACCAATCCCATGTTGGTTCCATCTATGATCCATCGCCTCAACATCTCACCAAAAACCAATAAAAATGGTGGAAGAGAACCCAACTCATAAATCCTTCTCTCTTTCTGAATTCTCATCCATCTCTCAATCTCCCTTGTGTAGTCACCTTCTCTTCACCTTACCAAATCCATCACCATTACATCTGTATTGAAATAACACGGCCTTTTCCCTTCAAAAACCCTAGATAACTCAAGGTCTGACCAGAACTCACTAGTGAAATACTGCCAAAGTCTACATAAGAGTACTCTAGAGCCCAATGGTTCTTGATCCAATCAAACTTATACTCCATAGCTTTTGGATGTCATCTACAACAATGGTATCAGAATCTAAGTACATTATTATGGCCATGTGCTTATTCTTATTCATAAACATTTACAACAAAATTTTTAATTTTCTCGTTAAAACGACATCACTTCTATGTTTATATAGGTGCAGTTTTTTATTTATGTCTTCATTGCTAAAGACATTTAATTATAGACTCTATTAAGAGTTCAATATCCTTCATTTACATAATGGATTAGACTAGTATTCTAAATATTTAGAATGGTTTTACTGGTCTTTATTGACACATAACAATAACTTTTATTACCTATTAAACTTTGCAATTAGAAGTTACCAATTCAAAGTTAGGTTCTCATTATTAGTGTCTAAATAGAATTTTAAACCCATTCTACTTGTGGTGCTTCTTACCAAATTTCTAGGTGGCGCCTTGGTATGTGCTAAGTTGTTGGTAGATTTAACATATATTATGATAATTACCTCATTTTTTTTATCAATTCTTTGATATAATCATGTCTTAGACTAATATGCCTAAATTTTTCATTATAAATTTCACTATAAGCTCTAGATATAGTAGCTTAACTATCACAGTACAATGAAATGGCTATCATTGATTGTGGCCATAACTTTATATCCATCAAAAAATTTCTTAGCCATTTAGCTTCTTTGCCTACTATAGCTAAAGTTATAAATTAAGATTCTATAGTTGAATGTGAAATGCAAGTTTGTTTCTTGGATGCCCAACTAATTGCACCACCTTTAAGAGTAAACATCCATCTTGAAGTGGATTTATTGTCACTTATACTAGTAATCTAACTTGCATATGAATATCCTTCCAAAACAGCTTGATATCTAGAATAAAATAAGCCAAAATCTTTAGTTCTTTCATTTAAATCTTTCATTTTGATTTAAAAATAAGATACCTTTTCGTTTCATTTATGCCAATCATATTAGTACTAAATATTAGCATATCATCCACAGAGAGACATATTATAACTCCATATTCTTTAGTAAATTTTGAATAAATGCACTTATCCGCTCCATTATGTTTAAAACCGTTGGCTAATATGATTGAATCAAACTTTTCATGCCATTGTTTAAGAGCTTGCTTTAGCCTATAAAGTGACTTAATTAATTTACAAACTTTATTGTCATTACTTGAAAGATTAAAACCTTATGGTTATTTCATGTATACTTCTTCTTTTAAGTCACCGTTTAAAAATGTTGTCTTAACATCCATTTAATGCACATTTAATTTATAAATGGAAGCCAAAGCTATAAGAACTCTAAAAGATCTTATTCTAGCTACTGGAACATATGTACCAAAATACTTTATGCCTTCATTTTGTTTAAAACCTTTTGGAACTAATCTTGCTTTAAAGGTTTGTAAAAACCATTTGTATTATATTTCTTTCTAAACACCCATTTACATCATATAGGTTTAGAATCTAGAGGTAAATCTACCAAGACCCATGTATTATTGGACATGATTGAGTCCATTTCATCATTAATAGTCTTTTTCTAAAAAGTAAGATTTTTTAAAGTCATAGCTTCATTAAATGTTTTAGGGTATTTGTCTATATTTAGTAGAATTTGTGTTTTATTAGGCACTTTGGTTCTATTTTCTTCTACTAGGAAGATAATAGAATATGGAGAAATGAAATCAAAATGCCAAAGATTTTCTTTTTTAACTCATTGTCTCATTCTAAGTTTAACAGAATCATTATTTTTTTTCTTTTATTTCCAATTATAGGAATCATTTCAATTTGTTTCTCCCTATCAATTTCAGTAGCACATATAAACTTGTTTTCAAAAAATTTTACATTAATAGATTCAACAATAACATTAGTATTTAAATCAAGAAGTCTATATGCTTTTGAATTCTATGCATAACCAACAAAAATACTTTTAATACCTCTAGGTCCTAATTTTGATTTATGAGGATTAGGTATTTTATGAAAAGCATCGCACCCCCACACTTTAAAATAATCCAAATTTGGTTTTTTGCCATAATTCCAAAGGTCATACAGTGTCTTGAAAAATTTCTTTGAAAAAATTCTATTATGTATATGGCATGTTGTTAAAAGTGCTTTTTTTCTAGAGATTTAGAGATATTTAAATCATTTTGTTGAGATGCATAAGAGGCTATCTTTTGATGAATAATTTCATTATCTTCACATAAAAGAGAAAATGAATTTGAAAAATATTTGCCACCTTATCAGTTCAAAAAATTTTGATTTTCAACAACTGATTTATATCTTTGAATTCATCAAAAGCTTCATCTTTTACTATCATTAGATACATAAAAGTATAACAAGAACTATCATCTATAAAAGTTATAAAATATCTTTTTTCTCCCCTTATTAATAAACCAATTAATTCATAAATACCAGAATGTACGAGTTCTAACAATTTTGTATTTCTTTCAACTTTAGGAAAATGTTTCTTAGTCATTTTTACTTTGACACAGATTTCACATTTAATGTCATGATTTTTCTAGTATGTTATATAACCAAGCTTAGTCATATGATTCATATATTGATAATTTAAATGTCCTAATCTAGCTTGCCATAAAGAAGAAGAATGCTCAACAATATAAGCAAAAATACTATTTATTTCATTAATACTTAGTTTAAACATACCATTATTGAATATCCTTTTCCAATGAATATACCATTTTTGGACACTATAACTTTATCAGACTTCTAGTACAATCTTAAAGTCTTTCTTACATAATAGATTTGCATATGCAAGGTTCTTTCTAATATCAAGAACATTACTTAGTTTGAACATACCATCATTGGAATATCCTTTAACATTACTTATTTTCAGATACTACAACTTTATCATACTTTAGCACAATCTCAAAGCCTTTTTTACATAATAGATTTATAGATACAAAGGTTCTTTCTAATCTCAGGAACATGAAAAATATTAAGTTAGTTTCTATCCTAAGGCGAATTTCAATTCCATTGTTCCTTTTCCAATCATTTTGGTAGGAACATGATTTCTTATAAGGATGTTTTCTGGTCTCTTGCTTTTTTCATAAGTCTTGAACTATTTTTTGTTATTGCAAATATGAATTGTTACACTGAAATCTAGCCACCAATCAAATGACTTATTCGAAGACCATTCCAATTTGCATGTCGATCACCATTGTAACGAGTTCATTAATTTTTTGCTCAACCAGATTTACCTTGTTTTCAGAACTAAAACCAATCTTAATTCTAACATTTTTAAATCTACAATCTTTAATGAAATGTCCTTTCTTTTCTTTCGCAATGGAAATGCATTTTATTCCTGTTAGATTTGGATTTCTTGAATCCATTCTCCTTGACTTTAAAATTGTTTTAAAACTTTCTATAAGACTTGTGAGCTTTTCTAGAATTTTATCCACTAACATAGTTCACATTGGAACCTCCAAGAAATAGTGCATCTTTTGCACAATTTTTTGTTTCAATCTGCATGTGAGTATGAAATTCTTCAATAGTGAAAATAGAAAGAGGAAGTTTGGACAAAACAACTCCAACTTGAAGTGAATTAGAAA